CCTGAATGCTTCTGAATATCCTCTCCCCTCTTGCCTTGGCCTCAACAGTAGTAAGCAGGTACTTTGACAGGGTAAAATAAATTTCAGATAAAAATCTCCAATAATATAAATTTTTAATGTAAAAAAGTCATCATTGTAAGAAATTGATGGCAAACCTCAACAGCATCATATTGGCCATGCCTAAGAAGGACAATTGCTAATTCAGTTGAGCGCCTCAAGAAGGAAGAGGAAACTTCCCCAGTGTTTCCCCAAACAATCCAGCTGGTAAACTTCTGCACTGAACTAATAACGTCATGTGGATTAGGGAGACATCCTAAAGAAAGGCATCTCTCATATCCAGAGAAACTTTGACTATTTAGTAGAAGTAAAGAGGCTAATGTGAAATCACATTTCCCCAGTTTCTCACTCCATGATCGTTTATTGATGTTGTTATCTGAAACATTGACAAACAGGGCAACTAGCAAGTCAACTAGCAAGTAATAAGAAATTCTTCTCTTACAAATTACAATAGTGATGCTGTTATGTGGTGATAATTGCTGGTTAGCTATAGCAATTCAACCCAAAACCATAAGAAACTTACCAATCTGTAGCAATGAAAGTTGAGAACTAAAATCTTCAGTTGCAGGTGATTCTGATGGTGTTGTGCTAAAGAAGAGAATGATAAGCCACTCAGAAATAATTTCTTCAATCATTGGAACCAGCTCAAGGTGTATTCTAGATATATCATCATGCGTCATGTTAATCTGGATTGAAAAAGAACTTTCAGATATCTGAATGTTAATAAAACTCATCATTTGTTTAAAAAGCCGACAATATAAATGCATACAAATGTATATTAAGTGAAGAAACTAATAAAATTTGATTTGAGTGATTATATTTTGGGCATGTTGCATCTGCTGCTTGTCACTTGTAAAGGGAAAGACAATATGTCAAAAAAAAAAAACTGAATAAACAACTCAGCTCGTTATGCACATAATACAAGTCTAAGATTAATTTACCACTGTTAAGAATGGTGACTTTTCAACATAACAACAATACCTCTGCAGAAATATTGCTCTCAAATCTCAGAATTGCTACTGCAAAGATCCTATTAAAAGGGTGTCCAAACCAACAACCAAATACAATGTCAACATACAAGATACACAGTCTGCAACTGCTCAGAAAGGAGAAAGTTCAAGATAATAATTATGTCTGTGTAGAAATTTTCTACTCAAATCTCACATTTGCTACTGCTTAGCGTCCTCTCAAAAGTGTCTAAAGTCTAAACTAGCAACCACATACAATGTCATTTGGTAATAAATTTTAATCATCACTAATAGTAGAAACCACCAAAATTTCATTACTAAGAAAAGGCTTGACCCATCACTACTACTCTATGTGTGTGTATATTCTTTTTCTTCATGAATGAAATGGAACTCAAGCAGAAAGTTCTTCTACGGTGTATCATGGAGTATTCGAGTTAAAATAGAGAAAGAGTAGAGAAAATGTACAAGATCGGTTTTTCAATTAAGGTGCATTATGGAAGAGAAAATGAAGAGATTATATGAGCGTCAGAATTCTACCACTTTCCCTGCATTTGTTGAGGATTAAAAGAAAATGATAATTTTTAACAATAAGAAATTATGAAGTCGAAGTGTATAACGAAGATTTCATTTTCTTCTCTTATCATTTCCTCAAATTAGCTATATTCCAGTCATCTAAGTTACATCTTTTTAGTTTCTTTTTGGATTTGGAGAAGGGGGATTCGAACCCTGATCTTTGAGTAGAGGAGTCATGAAGCAACCAACAAACTAAATGCTTTGGGTGCTATTAAAATCCTTTTATGATTTGTCTCTAACAAAATAAAATGAGATATAGGGTTTGTCATACTAAAGTTCAACAGAAAGATATCAACAGCATAAAAAGTTCTTAAAAGGTTTCATTGTACCTTTGGAATAAACTTAAATTTCTTAATAGCAGCATGGATCCCCATCTCACCTTGAAGTACTAGTGTTCATTAAGCATAGTTGCTTCATCAGGCTGCAAGTGCGCCCTTAATTAGTCACATGCCAACCTTATGATTTAGGACAGCAATGAAGGAAACTTCTTTCAAAGCCGATTAAAGTTCGAATTAGTCTTTGAAGGGGTATGAAGCACATATGGATTTAGGGACTGAATTTATCCAGTGAGGATAAGTATATTGTTTAGGTGAAGTAATCGCTAGTTGATGCAGGTTTGAAAAA